AACTTCGTAACAGTTACATTATACGTAAAAAAATAATTGGAAAGCACTAATCATTCTTAACAAGATTTGTAGTAAAATATCTCTACCACATTAAAACCAGCGGTACTGGAGGCGATGATATCGTCGAGCATCATTTTCACATCAGTTTGAACACTGAAGCATTCTTACTCAAGAAGTTGTCGAGATGGAGCAATATGTGGGTTGGAGCTTCGTACGCCAGTTAGTTCAATACTTGCGAGGTCGTTTATGGGACGTGTGGCTGAGCGCCACCATGAAGGAGGCTTTGTTTCACTTCTCTCGGTTGACGAACTTGATGTTTCTAGAGCATCTCATCGGTATGCTGGAGAGACATTGGTGTTGTGTTAAATCCACCTGGTTCCAAGAGCTGGGTTGGATCAGCCCCGTGGAAGACTGCCGAATGTTGAGCTCAACTTTAACCTTCTGAATTTCGGCTTTGGAGATCCATCGCGGTCATACTATTAGAGAGATGGTTTTCTGTAATTGTAAAGAGTCCATTCTCCGTTGCAAATGACAATGCACGAATGACATGACAATACCGGATATTAGTGGCTTTTGTTGCGAAGAATCCTTGGGAACGACCCTTTCCCAAGAATTCTTCGCAAGGAGGAGGGTCAGCCCATCGTTGGTACTTTTTGGAATTTTTCACGACCTCCTCCCCTTCATGGGCGATTTGGTACGACCCCCTCCCTGTAACTTGTGTGCAAAGGGAGGGAATCCCCTGGGTGCGTGGACCATTTCGCTTAAACTTTTACACCCACCCGGAGCTTCCCTCCCCTGCAAAAAAAGTGGATACTTCACGCGATATGAACTGTCGCACCACATGCTCTCCCTTACTGGGTAAAAACTATAAGGTGGATGCCAGGCTCGGCGATTGTGCAATCGCAACAACAGCAATGGCAGCGCGCTGAACGCAACCTATTGATCAATAATAACACGCCCTACTCGGCCATTGTTCAGAAAACGACCACAACGCTGTCGCGATTGCTCAGTCGCTGAGTCTGACATCCACCTAAAGCCGATGTCATATTTGCGAATGGAACGA